TGACGTAATAGCAGATACCCTCACCAGACTCTCTTTCCTTAACAAGACAACACATGGCAGTGTGTGTGTTAGTGAGAAACAGTAAAGCAGTGTAAAACCCTCTGTGATGAAGATGTGGGAAAACATTAAGTTACAGCTTCACCTCTGACTGATACACAGCGCTGACACTGGAGACTCCTTCCATACATGTTACTCAAACACATTTCTCCTTTGTAGCGGGAAAGGGCGATGCACAGAGACACGGAGGTGTGAGTAGAGCAAAAGCTGAGGCTTTATTCTCGTTTTGGTAGAGTGTAGGTTCGTGGGGGGCGTGTCTGTAGGTCTGCGGGGCCGGGCTGACGTCATGACGCTCGCGGGGGCGTGTCGGGGGAATCCCGGAAGAAGCCTCGGGGTTCTTGCGCCGTCCCTCAGCGCTGCGTGTCGTCTCGGCCGGCGCCGTCCTCGTCTGTGTCGGTGCCTTATGAAGAAATATATATGGGGAGAGAGAGAGAGAGCGATTAGTCACCCTTAAAGCGGGTATGGGGGGAATACCTGTACTCGAATCCGGTTCGGACGCCAACCATTTCGGTGAGTCGGTACTCAACTTTCCCGGGGCGGCAGGGCGTCCTTTTATTTCCGTCTTCCGGTTAGGGAGTGGTGGAATTCTTCCGTCCGATCCTCCAATCCCCAGACGGTACCGCATCGGCGGGTCCTCCCTGCCATGGCGTCCCTTCCGGTTGGTGCGAGGTCCGGTGCGGGGCTGCCTGCTTCGCGCCGGAACGGCAGTCGGAGAAGGAGCGATTTCCTTTTCTCTCGTGCCGCGTGTCAGTCCGTCGCAACACCTTACAGAAAACTTCATCACATCAACAATTAAACACCCTGATCAGTTAATCATCAGTAGAGTGTCCGCTGTACACGCCCCTGTGAACGAGCCGTTACCGTAGAAACGATAAGGTATTAGAATGAGTGTGTTAGTATAGGTCAGGTGACTTTCCTGTCAGATAATAAATAACACAGTCAGAAATCTGGCAGAAGGTCCGTAACTTTTCCGAGGTAGTGAACTTTCTAATGTGCGGAGAGATGCATTGTATTTCAGTCTTTTCATCTGAACACAAAGCAGGAGACAAAAGTCCAAGAGGAAAACACAGAGTTCCTCTTAAACGAGCACTTTCTGTCAAAATCTTCTCGGCCCTGACAGATCTGCAGCTCCAATCCAAACCGTGCTCACAGAGACGAGAGAGAAAAGCGTCATGAGAGAAAAGTACTGAAAAGACCGAGCAGCATGGAGGGAAGAGGGCCAACAACAAGGAAACTTCCGTTCCGGTGCGGGGCTGCCTGCTTCGCATGGCAGTCGGAGAAGGAGCGACTTCCTTTCCTCTCGCGCCGCGTGTCAGTCCATCGCGACAGTACCCCCCAGCTCCGAGCCTACTGCCGCCGGGTGGTGGGCCCATAGCCCGTCGCTCCGGGAGAGCCCGTCTGCGTTCCAGTATAGGGTCCCCGCCCGGTGTTGGACCTGAAAACAGAAGTCCTGCAGGGCGAGAAACCAACGAGTTACCCTGGCATTAGTGTCCTTGGCCTTGGCGTGGTCTTGGAGGGGCCTTGGAGGGGGGCGTGGTCCGTCACCAGGATGAAGGCCCGGCCCGCCAGGTAGTACCGCAGCTCCTCAATGGCCCACTTTATTGCCAGGGCCTCTCTTTCCACCGCGGCGTAACTTCCGGCTGATGTAGAGTACCGGGTGCTCTTCTCCCTCGAAGGTCTGGGAGAGAACTGCGCCAACCCGGTTTCGGATGCATCGGTGTGCACCGAGAAGGGGAGGGTAAAGTCCTAGTGAGGGCCTCCTTCAGAGTCCGGCAGGCCCGCTCGGTGTCGGCTGACCACCTCACCCAGTCCAGCTGGCGGTTTTTTTGACGTGGGCCGAGGGTAGCCTTTCACCGCTTTAACTTTCTCTGCCTGGGGCTTCAGCATCCCGCGCCCAATGCGGTATCCCAGGTATTGCGCCTCGGTTAGCCCAAGGTGACATTTCTTGGGGTTGGCAGTCAAGCCAGCGTCCCGGAGTCCCTTTAGGACCTCCCCCAGATGGAACAGGTGGTCCAACCAGTTGGAGGAATGGATGACTATGTCATCCAAGTAGGCCGCTGCAAAGCTACGATGGGGCCGCAGGACGATGTCCATCAGTCGTTGGAAGGTGGCCGGTGCCCCATGTAGTCCAAAGGGGAGGACCCGATACTGCCAGTGGCCCGTGGAGGTGCTAAAGGCCATCTTGGGTCGAGCGTCCGCCGCTAGGGCCACTTGCCAGTACCCTTTGGTGAGGTCCAGGGTGGAAATGAATCGGGCCCTCCCCAGGCGCTCCACAAGGTCGTCCACTCGGGGGAGGGGGTAGCTATCAAAATCCGAGACCTGGTTCAGTCTGCGAAAGTCATTGCAGAGCCAATTGCTCAGTCCAGTTTTGGCACTACAACGATAGGGCTGGACCAGGGGCTGTTGGATTCTTCGATAACTCCATCTCATAGCATTCGCTCCACCTCTTCCTCGATGGCCTTACGCCGGGCCTCTGGGACACGGTAGGGCCTCTGTCTTTCCACTACCCCTGGAGGTGTCTTCATGTGGTGGCGCACCACTTGGGTCCTTCCCGGGGAGGAGGACAACACGTCCGAGAATTTGCACAGCGGTACCGTCTCCGGGTACCGGGTGGCGTAGTCTACGACCACCAGGATGTACTCGTGGCCCCGGGCCGACTTGGGGAGGGGCCCCACGAGGTCCATGCCGATCCGCTTAAAGGTAACGCCGATGATGGGTAGAGGGATGAGGGGCACCGGCGGGGGCCTCCGGGGAGTGGTGCGTTGGCACTGGGACACAGCTGGCAGAACCTCTGGACCTCGGCACTCATCCCGGGCCACACGAATCGGTCCCTCAGTTTTTCCAATGTGTTCCGCGGTCCCAGGTGACCGCCGAGCGGGTGGGCATGGGCGAGGTGCATGACGAGTGGTGTTTTCGTCCGTGGTACCACCAGGAGATCTACCTGCTCCCCGCGGTGGCAGGCCCGTTGGTAGAGGAGGCCACCCCGGACGAGGAAGTACGAGGTGGGAAGTCTCAGGTCGGAGTTTTGGTCGACCCCTCTACAACCCGTAATTGGGCCCAGCAGTGCTTGAGGCGGTCGTCCTCCTTCTGCTCCCGACCAAAGCTCCCCTCTTGGTTCACCTGATGGACGATAACAGACATAGGGTTAATTGATATAGAGTACTCACCTTCGGGAGTGACGTCCCCGTTGTCCTGGGCCAGGTAGGCAGTCCAGGCCCCGGTCCTCTGCTTCCGACGTCTTCCGCTGCGTGTCGTCTCAGCCGGCGCCGTCCTCCCTGCCATGGCGTCCCTTCCGGTTGGTGCGAGGTCCGGCGCGGGGCTGCCTGCTTCGCGCCGGAACGGTAGTCGGAGAAGGAGCGATTTCCTTTTCTCTCGCGCCGCGTGCCAATCCGTCGCGACACCTTACAGAAAACTTTATCACATCAACAATTAAACACCCTGATCAGTTAATCATCAGTAGAGCGTCCGCTGTACACGCCCCTGTGAACGAGCCGTTACCATAGAAACGATAAGGTATTAGAACGAGTGTGTTAGTATAGGTCAGGTGACTTTCCTGTCAGATAATAAATAACACCATCAGTCAGAAATCTGGTCTAGTCTCAGATTTACCAAGCAGAAGGTCCGTAACTTTTCTGAGGTAGTGAACTTTTTAATGTGCGGAGAGACGCGTATTATTTCAGTCTTTTCATCTGAACACAAAGCAGGAGACAAAAGTCCAAGAGGAAAACACAGAGTTCCTCTTAAACGAGCACTTTCTGTCAAAATCTCCTCGGCCCTGACAGATCTGCAGCTCCGATCCAAACCGTGCTCACAGAGACGAGAGCATCATGGGAGAAAAGTACTGAAAAGACCAAGCAGCATGGACAGAAGAGGGCCAACAACAAGGAAACTGTGTGTGTCTGTGTGTGTGTGTGTGTGTGAGAGAGAGAGGGGGAGAGAGAGAGAGAGAGCTTTACCTAAGACATTATGTTACATATGATCTTATTTATAAATATTATTTTATTATCTGTTAGTGTGCTTTCTGTTTGTGATGCTGAAAGTATTTTAAATACATAACTGATTTGTTTTCAACTCTTTCTCTCTCTCTCCATCTTTCCCTTCTCTCGCTCTCTCTCTCCCTTTCACTTCTTTCTCTCTCTCTCCATCTTTCACTTCTTTCTCTCTCTCTCTCTCCATCTTTCCTTTCTCTCGCTCTCTCTCTCCCTTTCACTTCTTTCTCTCTCTCCATTTTTCCTTCTCTCTCTCTCTCTCTCTCTCCAACTTTCACTTCTCTCTCTCTCTCCCTTTCACTTCTTTATCTCTCTCTCTCTCTCTCTCTCTCTCTCTCTCTCTCTCCATCTTTCCCTTATCTCTTTCCATCTTTCACTTCTCTCTCTCTTTCTCTCGCTCTCCATCTTTCCCTTCTCTCTCTCTCTTTCCGTCTTTCACTTCTCTTTCAATCCATCTTTTTTCCGCTCTACTGTACTCCATTTAGAATTGATTCAGGAACTCTGTTGCTTAGTTACGAGGCGCTATCACTCTGCTCAAAGTGGAAAAGAGGAGGAGGAACGAGGGATTTCACTCCTCCAGCAGCAGCGCGACATGTTCACTGACAGATTGGGGGTTCTCTCTCTCTCTCTCTCTCTTTCTGTTTTTCTATAATATAATTCCATTTAAAATTTGTTTAGATGGGTGGATGGATATCCCCCCCCCTCTCTTCAGTGGTTCACTTTTTTAGCCTGTCATTTCCCTCTTTCTCGTTCCTTTTTGCCGTCCTCTCTCTCTCTCTCTCTCTCTCTCTCTCTCTCTGCGTCTTGTGTTTGTTTGTTATTTTTACATTACATGAACTTACACTTACTGCATTCAGCAGATGCGCTGATCCAGAGCGACTTACATTCATCTCATGTACACATCTGAGCAGGTGAGGGTTGAGGGCCTTGCTCAGGGGCCCAGCAGTGGACGCCTGGTAGTGCTGGGGTTTGAACTCATAACCTTCGGATCAGTAACCCAGAACCTTTAACCACTGAGACACCACTAACCCCCCAACCCCCCTCGCTCTCATGCCATTTACTGTTTCTCTTTCTGTTTATCAGTCTTTCTCTCTCTTCCCCACTTTCTCCCGAATCATTATATAAAACAGAAAGAACATTTTCATTCTTCCTTCATCCTTCGTTTTCCCTTCATTCATTTATCTCCTTTCATTCCTTATTTATTCTTCAGTCTGTTTTTCCTTCCTTCTCTCTCTTTTATCCTTCCTTATTTTTTAATCCTTCCTCCATTCCTGCTGTCCTTCTTTTTTCACTTCCTTCCTTTTTTCCGTGGTAAGTTGTTTATTCTTTTTTTTAAGTTTTTAGTCCTTGTTTCTTTTTGTTTTTTCCCTTCCTTCCATCTTTATTTCTAGTATTTCTCATCTATTTAATCTATCTAATTTCTCTTCCCTTCTTTCTCTTTCATCCTCTCTCTCTCTCTCTCTCTCTCTCTCTCTCTCAGATGAAAACTGAAAGCCGTCTCTCTGTTTCTGCTTCCTGTCTTTCTCGATGTCACTTCCTTTATAAATAACGAACTGTACAGTGATGATTCTCTCATTACACTGAATGGATCGGACAGAGACTCGAACCTGATGCTGAAGAGAGGGTTGAGTGTGTGTGTGTGTGTGAGTTTGTGTGAGTGTGTGTGGGTGTGTGTGTGTGTGAGTGTATAGAGAGTGTGTGTGTGTGTGTGTGTGTTGTGTGTGTGTGTGTGTGTGTGTGTGTTTTTGTGTGTGTGTGTGTGTGTGTGTGTGTGTTAGTGTGTGTGTTGTTGTGTGTGTGTGTGTGTGTGAGTGTGTGTGTGTGTTGTGTGTGAGTGTGTGTGTGTGTGTGTAAAGGTGTGTATGTTTGTGTGTGTGTGTGTATGAGTGTGTGTGTTGTGTGTATGTGTGTGTGTGTATATGTGTTGTGTTGTGTTTGTGTGTGTGTGTATGAGTGTGTGTGTGTGTGTGTGTGTGTGTGTGTGTGTATGGTGTTGTGTGTGTGTGTGTGTGTGTGTGTATGGTGTGTGTGTGTGTATATGTGTTTTTGTGTGTGTGTGTGTGTGTGTGTGTGTATGGAGTGTGTGTGACTGAGTGTGTGTGTGTGTGTATGTGTTGTGTGTGTGTGTGTGTGTGTGTGTGTGTGTGTGTGTGTGTGTGATAGGCTGAGGAGAAACAGTGGCTGACTCAGTGGAACTGTAGAAGCAGCGCGCAATAGATTCACTGTTCACCGCAGCGCTCACTGAAACATTTTTTTTTTCTCTTTTTTTTTTTTTTTTTTTTTTTTTTTTTCTCTGTGTGTGTGTCTCTCTCTCTCTCTCTCTGACATCATGCCTCGAACACACACTCCTCGGGCAGCGACTGGAGCAGATGAACACACCACACACGGTCCACACGTGGCGCAGAGCTGTCACTGAGACACGGACCAGACTCTCGCATCCGGACCTCCGAGGAGATAAAGGGATTAGTGTTGTCTCCCTGGGAGGAAAGCGGAAGAGGAAGAACGACAGAAGATGTTGGTCTGATGGATAATGTGCTGATGATGGAGGGATGATGGGAATCTCCCACTCTTCTACAGCACACTCGGGATTTTAACGAGACGCAGCGCAGCGCAGCCAGACATCTGCAGGAACTCCACTTGTTTTAGTGTGTGTGTGTGTGTGTGTGTGTGTGTGTGTGTGTGCACATGTTCCCACATGGCGTGCTACTACATCGTGATCAGCTCCACACACCTCAGCAATGGACACTTCCGCAACATCAAAGGAGTTTTCAGAGGACCGCTGTGCAGAAACGGCAACTTGGTAAGAGTGTGTGTGTGTGTGTGTGTGTGTGTGTGTGTGTGTGGTGTGTGTGTGTGTGTGCGCGCGCGCGCGAACATCATCAAAAGAACAATGTCTTAACCGACAAACAAGTTCCAACATTTTCATTAGTGGGAATTTTATATTTATATAATGTTCAAAATATTTCTCCTTATGAGATTCTCAAATAATAATAATAATAATAATAATAATAATAATAATAATAATTATTATTATTATTATTATTATGATTGTTATTATTTCTGTTGGGTTTTGCACATGGATTTAATCTGTAATAGTTTTCAAAAATGTGAAAAATGACAAATTTTAGAAGATTAGAAAAATCTTTGAAAATAAATAACTGATATTTATCAAATATTTGGTGGCGAACACCGTGCTACATTATTCCATATAAATATCAAACGTGTGTATAAAATGTGAATCAATTATGGATGATCTGTTTATTATAAATATAATATTTATAAACATGCAGCGATATAAACACCTCACTCACGTCATGTGACTTTGAAAAATCATCAAAAACAAAAGATTGAAATAAAGATCATCTGTGAAATGAATTTTAATGTCAAATTTTCTAACATTGTAATTTAATAACATTATTAGCCTAATTTTTATATTAATATTTGATAAGATAAATATATATCTTTAAAAAATTAAATTATATATATAAATATATAGAAGATAAGAATATATTTAATATTTCAGTAAATGTGTAAAATTTCAGGTGTGTGTGTGTGTGTGTGTGTGTGTGTGTGTGTGTGTGTGTGTGTGTGTTGTTTATCAGTAAAAGTTTGGATATGAAGCGATGTGATGCCATATGTGTGGAGTTACTGCAAGAACATCAAGCAGGCACACACTCTTTTTTACACACACACACACACACACACACACACACACACACACAGATTGATCAGCAGTGTGACAGATGGATGGGGACGGCTCTAATCTCTACACGTAGTCATAAGCGATGGCTCGGGGTTTAGCTCAATCGCAGCGATTACATTAGCGGGTTCGGAGTAATCCTCCTGCTCCACTCGGCCTCTGCAATAACGTTAGTGAAATCTGGGCCAACACGGCGGGGAAATAAAAAATAACCAAATGTATCAGGATGAAAAATCTCTCCAGTTAGTCTCGTATCGATCTGGCGTGTTTCCAGGAGAGCATCATGAAGCTCGGAGTTGAAATTTAATTCAGAATATAGTTCCAAATAAATGATCAGAGCTTTCCAATCTGAAATCCTCCACTCTCTCCATCTCTTCCTCCTTCTCGCGCTTCTCTCTGAAAATAAAAGTCGACTGTGTTCTCCAACCGAAGTCGTGTATTCGACAGACTCTGGGGATCCGCTGAAGAAATCTGAAGTGTTTCTTGTTGGAGTGTTTCATCTCCACCGCTGCCGGATGTCTTCACCCGAATTTTATGAAAAAACAACACGATCCGGATTTATACACCGTCTCCTGTTCACCTCCATCTTCTCAAACACGAGTCACACAAGTGACAGATGAGAGATTAGCGTTGAAGAGCAAAGTCTCTCTCTCTCTCTCTGTCTCTCTGTCTCTCTGTCTCTGATTGTAAAAGTAAAAGTCTTTCTCTCTCTCTGTCTCTCTCTCTCTCTCTCTCTCTCTCTCTCAGTCTCTCTCTCTGTCTCTCTGACCATCTTTCAGTCGTTTGATTGCACTTTTTTTTGGCAGAACAGAGCAGTTCCCTTTAGTGTGAATTAGAAATGATTAGGGATTAAATGTTGAAGTGTTCGACTGAGGAGACAGCAAGAACATGACTGACTGCTCAGAGTGTGTGTGTGTGTGTGTGTGTGTGTTAAAGGACTGTTCATTATTGTGTTGTACAAGTTTGAGGTTAGGGCGTAACGGTACAAAACTAGAGATTAATAGCTTAATAATCAAGCAGGAAGTTGATGAGGAGATGAAGTCTGTAGCTGTTGCAGTCAATAAGAAATAAAATAAAATTCCAACAGTGAACTCCAAACTACTGCAACTGTGGAAGCCATCAGTGTGTTAATTATTAATAAAAACACGAAGAAAAGAAACCGAGTGGGAGCACAGGTCATTAACAAAACAATCAAATAAATTAGAGCAACTTCCTTCCTTCTTTCTCTCCTTATTGATTCTCTTTCTCACTCATTTTCGCTCCTTCGCTCTCTCGTTCTCAGATGAAAACTGAACGCTCTGTTTCCGGATCATGAAAAAAACCTTGAGGAAAAAAGGCAGGAATTTAAACAGGGTTAGTAATCAGTGCAACGAGACACAGGTGAAAGGGATCAGGGAGAGATATGCTCAAGTCATGTGCTAGGGCTGATGGGTAATGTAGTTCTTGTCGGCCATTTTGTAGCTGGAACTAGTCTTGATCGAGGGCCCGACAGCAGCAGCTCAGTGGATCTGGGATTTAAACCAATAACCTTCAGATCAGTGGTTAAGTAATACAGCAGATCTCAGAATACCTGAATTCGTGTAAGCGATGTCTCAGAGAGTGTCATGAACGTGTTCCTCTGTTCCACACACTTTCAACACAATTCATAATAAAGTTTTAAAAAATGCTGGTGATATGTTTGGTGTGTGTGTGTGTGTTGTGTGTGTGTGTGTGTGTGTGTGTGTGTGTGTGTGTGTGTGTGTGTGTGCATATTTGATGTATATTTATATATATACATATACACATATATAAAAGCGTGCAGGAACACATGGTGGCTTAGTGGTCAGCACATTCGCCTCCAGGGTTGGAGGTTTGATTCCCACCACAGCCTGTGTGCATGTTCTCCCCGTGCTGCGGGGGTTTTCTCTGGGTACTCCGGTTTCCTCCCCCTGAAAACCAGCTGACTGACATGTCCAAAGTGTCTGTATTGTAGGAGTGGCTATGTGAAAGTGTATGTGATTGTCCCGTGTGATGGATTGGCACCTCGTTCAGAGTACCCCATGCCCCCTGGGATGGGCGCCAGGTTCCCTGTAAGATAAGAGGTATAGAAAATGGATGAATGGTATAGAAGATACCATATATATATATATATATATATATATATATATATATATATATATATATATATATATATATATATATATATATATATATATATATATATATATATATACACACACACACACACTCACTCTGCATGTATGAGAATGAAGGAAGGACCTGAATGTCCTGGTGAAGTGCCATCTGGTCCTCTCACCAGGTGCAGTGTTATTTCAGCGCAAACCGAAAG